TTGTTTGGCGGGTCCGGGCTGGGGATTCGAACCTGCCACCTTAGGTGTACGTGGCTGGCGCCTTAGCCGGTTGAGCTATAGGCGCCGAGCCAGGTGATTCTCTTGCCTTAGCCTCCCGAGTAGCTGGGACTAGAGGCGCCTGCCACAATGCCTGGCTGTTTTCTTGTTGAGGTTTGGCTGGGGGCCAGGTTTGAACCCGCCACCCTCGGTATATGGGGCCGGCACCCTACTGTGAGCCACAGGCACTGCCCTTTATTTTCTTTTTTTGAGACAGAGTCTCACTATGTCTCCCTTGGTAGAGTGCTGTGGCATCACAGCTCACAGCAATCTCAAATTCTGGGGCCCAAGCGATTCTCCTGCCTCATACTCCCAAGTAGTTGGGACTCACTGTGGCACCCCCCACAATGCCCAGCTATTTTTGGTTGCACTTGTCACTGTTGTTTAGCTGGCCCTGACCAGGTTGGAACCTGCCAGCCTTGGTGTATGTGACTGGCACCACAACCACTGTGCTACGCGCACCAAGTCTACTTAAGTTTTCTTTTTTTTTGAGACAGAGCCTCACGCTGTTGCCCTGGGTAGAGTGCTGTAGCAATTCCAACTCCTGGGCTTAAGTGACTCTCCTGCCTCAGCCTTCAAAGTAGCTGGGACTTCAGGCACCTGCCACAATGCCCGGCTATTTTTTGGTTGTAGTCGTCATTGTTTGGCAGGCCCACGCTGGATTCGAACCCGCCAGCTCTAGTGTATGTAGCGGGTGCCTTAGCTGCTTGAGCTATAGGCGCCACCTACTTAACTTTTCTTGATCAGCTGTGAGTTGCTTTGAGAATTATGTGAGCCACATGACATATAATAGTTGCTCAGTAAATACTGGATCCTGTTCCTGTCTTTATTCTTGTTTTGAGAAAGAGTTTCACTTTGTCACACTAGGTAGAGTGCTGTGCTGTCATAGTTCACAGTAACCTCAAACTCTTGGACTCAAGTGATCCTCTTGCCTCAGCCTCCTGAGTAAGTGAAACTATAGGCCCCCACCATAATGCTGGGATTATTTTTTTTTTTTTTTGAGACAGTCTCACTTTGTCACCCTGGGTAGAGTGCTATGGGGTCATAGCTCACAGCAACCTCAAACTCTTGGGCTCAAGCAATTCTCTTGCCTTAGCCTCCTAAGTAGCTGGGACTACAGGTGCCTGCCACAATGCTGGGCTATGGGCTATTTTTTTTTTTTTTTTCCAGAGATGGTGTCTCTTTCTTGCTCAGGCTGGTCTTGAACTCCTGAGCTCAAGCAATCCACCTACCTTGGCTTCCTAGAGTGCTAGGATTACAGGCGTGAGCTACAGCACCCAGCCTTCTTACCCAACTCAAATCTTCACAAGTTGAATGATTACCAGTTTGAATTCTGGATCCACACCCTAAACTTCCCTGGTTTCCTTACCCAGCTTCCCTTTATCTGAAATACCACTGGGAGACAGATGAAAATCATATCTTTTGTCATTACAACTCTATTATTTTATTTGAAGTAAATTTCTGGACCATCAGATATTAGAGCAAAGCAAAACAAAAAAAAACCAAAGAAAATAACAAACCACCGAAAAAAACCCCGAATCCTGAATTTTGGTATTACTTCTTCCTAGTGACAGATCTCTGCCTCCTCAGAACAAAAAAATTACCTGCCCTGTGTGCCTCAGAGCTGTTGTGGAACAATGTTTATTAAAACATTTTACAGGTTATACAAATGCTGGACATATAATGTCGCTGGTAATCGCACACCCAAACAATAATACAAGTCAAACACAAAAGTTTTTTCACTTGCTGCAGTTTTTCAGGCCCTTTTCCCTTGTGAGCTTAGAGTCCTGGAGGTGTGACCGCCATTCTCCAGCAGCGCGAGGCCCAGTGTACGGACCAACCCTAACCCTAACCTGCGGCCCCGTCACTCGCGCAGCCGAGTCAGGGCGCAGCCACGAACCTGCCTGGGGAATGAGCTTCGGGTCACATGGTGAGCGACAGCAAACCGGCTGCTCTTACCCACAATCTGGGAACGTTCCCCAATTTCCCAGCAACTCCTTTCTGGCTTCCAGCTCTCCCTTTGGTCAGCGACTGGGTTTTCTCCCCACCAGCCAGCGCCGCGGCCACGTGGGCCTGACCCAGTTCTGACGCCCGGAGCGAGGGCGCTACCGCAGCCGGACACCGGCTCGCAGGTGGGACACAGCTGCAGCATACCAATTCTGGGGGCGGGTGGGGGACCGCAAACGTCCAGCCCGGCCCAGCCCACCTTTGCTTAAAGCTCGTGGCGGCTGGAGGAAAGCTAGCACTCGGCGTCCTGCTCCAGGCACAGCCCTTTCCACTCTTAGGGTGACCCTGAACTCTCAGGAAGATTTACTGTCTCTAGTAGAAACTGAGGTAGAAAGGGCGCGGCTAATCACGTTGTCCTTGAATTACGTTTGTGGACGTGCATCCCTTGACCCTGCTCCCAGACACAGTGGCCCTACGGTGGCTCCTTGAAAGGTGCAGCCCGCCCTCCTGGTGTAAGGTTGCGGGCGGGTCGGGGCGGAGCGAGTCCAGGATGCAATATCCTGGAAAAAAGAAAAGGCTTAGTGTTGGGGCGGTCGGCGGGCTAGGCAGACCTGGACTCTTCTGAACAGGTAATACCCGGGCCGCTATGTCTGAACCTGAGAGAGAAGGCTGCCGTGGAGGCAGGCAAGGGTGCTGCACAGCTGAGGTAGAGGGAGCCGAGAAACCCAGAAGCTGTGGCGGGTAGGGGCAGCCATCATCCCTTTCTGCAACCCTCTGTCCCATGTGCCCTCCCCCAGAAGCATGGACCTGGACCTCCAAACCCCTAACCTGCTGGACTCATGGCTGGAGGTCCCAGAAGATATCTTCTCAACAGGATCCTTCCTGGAGCTGGGACTCCACTGTCCCCCTCCAGAGATCCCAGGGACTAGGCTACAAGAACCAGGGTTGCAAGGCTTGGAGTCCAGTGGGGGCCGTGGTTATGTGAGTGTGAGGAATGGGATGGGGAGGGTGTTAAAGGCTTCAGTTGGGGAAAGGCCTAAAAACAGGAGACCCCCAAAGTAAACATAAGTATATCTCCGTGGCCAAGAAAAGCAAGGATTGAAATTGAAGCATCAAGGGGTCTAGGTCTGATGGCAAAATTCTTCCCTCAAAAAAAAAAAAAAAAAATTCTTCCCTCTCCTACTATATATAGGGCCTTCAAGAAAGTGAACCAGAAGATTTCTTGAAGTTTTTCATTGATCCCAATGAGGTATACTGCTCAGAAGCATCTCCTGGCAGTGACAGTACCATCTCTGAGGACCCTGGCCATCCAGACAGTTCCCCTGCCCTCTATGAGGTTGTCTATGAGGCAGGGGCCCTGAAGAGGATGCAAGGGGAAGGTGGGCTGAATGTAGGGCTCATCTCCATCCAGCTAGGTCAGTGTTCTTTGTGGGATATGAACAATGGCCCTTTGGTCCAGCTCTAGCCATGGGGTGTAAGGGGTTTCCCTAAGTTGTGCCACTACCCAGCCCCTGCTGTTGTCTGGGTGTACCCTGCATCTCCTTTCTCCCGGCCACTTTTGTCTCCCTCAGATCAGTGGAGTCCCTCATTTGTGGTGCCTGATGTCTGCATGGTCAATGAGCTGCCCTTTGATGCTCACACCCACATCCTGCCCACAGCAGGAACCATAGCCCCAGTGCCTCCTGCACCCCTGGTGAGTCTTGGTGTCAGCCAGAACCAATACTCCCTGATACACACATACTCAGTCACACATGGCAGCAAAGAGAATGTGAGCAGGGAAAATTGAGGATAAACTTTTAACTTTGCCCCAGTTTTTGTGTCATTGAGCTTGAAGACCAAGCAGATATAAGCAATTTTAAGAGCAGGAAAGGAGGCTCCGCACGGCACCTGTAGCTCAAGCGGCTAGGGTGCCAGGCACATACACTGGAGCTGGTGGGTTCGAGCCCAGGGCCTGCCAAACAATGACTGCTACAACCAAGCCAGGTGTTATGGCAGGCAGCTGTAGTCCCAGCTACTTGGGAGGCTGAGGCAAGGGAATCACTCAAGCCCAAGAGTTTTTTTTTTTTTTTTTAGATGAGCCTCAAGCT